GCGGACTATTGCGTTTGTTGACAAAAGCACTTCTCTGTGGGGGCATTTTTTTAGTTATGTGTATTTATAGAGATCCAAAAAAGTAACGTATCACCATGAGTCCATCTATAAAATTCTTCTGGAATTAAATTCCAAAAATTCGCTTATCTCTGTAGCAAAAAAATCATCGGTTAGGAATATAAACAAATAATTTAATAATTTAAAAAATATAAAGGTTCTATATTATTCATTCCACGTTCTATATCACTGATCATTATTAATCAATGTATTTTGTGGATATGATTAATAATTACCAAGAAGTTTTGTGAATTTTACTGCGATTTTAATTAACTGTCGTAATTTTATCCGTATGTACAAAACGCGTTGTACACAACAATTGTACAAAACGCGTTCGCGGAGAAGTGTCAATCCCAAACCTGTTTTGAACCGCGCATGCGTAGTTGATAAATCAGTTATTTGTCGCGGATTTGTCAGGGGTTAGTCAGGGATCGCTACCGCGAACAAAGCTCTTACCATTTACTCTGATAAATGTTTAAATAAACTTTTCAAATTTCAATCCTTCATATTTTCTCAATGACTCGACCGATTTTCAAAAACGAAGCGGGAAAGTATAGAGAATAAAAAGCCCTTTTCATTGCGGTACCGCTTGACCCCCCTTCCCATTTGAAAAAATTGGGGGATGACACCCCCGCTTAGAGGGTTGAAGATTTTGCAATCATTTTTGGGGCAAAAGTTGTCCCCCTCACAAACAAAATTGATGTGTTTTTGAATTTTCTGAAAAAAAAATTACCCTGGCCGTTATGCCTTGCGGAACGTTTTCGATGGGCCACCCTGTATACTGCTGATATGATGCTGCTGTAGTATAAATATTAAAGAAACTACATGCTAATACATGTAGCACTTAGCCAGGAAATATGACAATTCCAGCCACTTTCCTTCTTAGTTCATTTTCTTTGCTAAAACGTACGAACTTTACGCACGCCCTCTCTAGGTGCTCTATAAGCTGAATCTTAAAAAAAAATTACCTATAAGCAAGTAATCGTTGTATAAAAAGGAATCTAAAAATATAGAATTATAATACTATATGAAATACGCAAATTTAGTTTAGATTTTGCAATCATTTTTGGGGCAAAAGTTGTCCCCCTCACAAGACGACGAGATGACGACCATTCGTGCCATGAACCTTGGTACGTCTGATGTCGAGGATGGAGAGCTGGCCTCTGTGGAGCCGTCTCAGTTACTGGCTTTTCTTAAAGCCCTGAGACTGTATGATGAGTTATAACTCGTTATAACTCAAGAAAGGGGAACACACAATAGATCTATAAGGTCGCGGTGATTAACTCCCCTCCTAAACATTCTACATTCTGTCCCCCTCACAAACAAAATTGACGTGTTTTTGAATTTTCTGAAAAAAAAAATTACCCTGGCCGTTATGCCTTGCGGAACGTTTTCGATGGGCCACCCTGTATACATTACATGTAGTAAACCAATCAATGGATAAGCAAAACCTTTAAAAATGTGTAAAAATAGTTAAAAATGGGCATATAATATCACTAAATGTTAAAATCATCAATTAATTCCATATTTCATTATTTAAATAATTATCAAGAACTTAAAATTTATACTAGCGTTTTACGGTAAGTAGTCGTATAAAAAATGTGAAACAACTTTCAGAGCTTGACGAAAAATGCAGATTACTTTCGTATCTTATTTTATATTGTACCATTCACGAATTCGATTACAAAAGTAGACTAAAGCAAGAGATAATACAAACCAAACCACTAATGCTTCTATAGAAGTATTTATTTAAGAGATGTTTTATTACTTGGATGTTTTAAAGGAAAATACATGAATAAACATTTATGCAAATGGCCTTTTCTTGGAAATCCTGTTTGTATTGTATTTTGTTATTCGTGTTATTTTATGTTCTAATGTCGTTCTTTATGAATAAACTTATTTTTATACAACAATCACAAAAAATAAATAGTATTATGTAATGATCTTTTAATGTTTTAATTAATGGCATTAATTAATTCAAGCAGTGTTGTTTAAGTATATATATATATATATATATATATATATATATATATATATATATATATATATATATATATATATATATATATATATATATATATATATATATATATATATATATAATATATATATATATATATATATATATATATATATATATATATATATATATATATATATATATATATATATATATATATATATATATATATATATATATATATATATATATATATATATATATATATATATATATATATTAGTAAGGTTTCTTTCACTCATCGCTTTGTGTACGCTTTTTTGCCATTCCAGTTTTGGTCTTCCCTGTTTTCTTCTGCCCTTTGGTTGCCAATTGATTATTTTCTTGGGCCATCTAGTGTCCTTCATTCGCTCTACATGTTCTACCAGATCAGCTGCTTTTTCTCTATATCCTGTGTTATCGTACCTTCCATACCCATTTGTTGTTTTATGGTATTATTTCTTATTCGTTGTTGTCTTGAAATTCCCATTGATCTTCGAATGGCATCCATTTCTACGGCCTCAATCCTCTTCTTGTATCTCTCAGTTATTCTCCATGTTTCTGCTCCATACAGGAGGTTGCTCTTTATCATGGTTTTATATATATTGAATTTTCTTCGCTTTGTTATTGATTTGCTCCATAAGATTCCATTTAGACATCCGATTATTTTTTTCGCGTTGATAATCCTTTTCTCTATTTCTCTGCCGTTTTCAGTGTTATCAAATGTAATTCCCAGGTACTCATACTCTTGACACTGCTTAATTTCGTGACCGTTGTCCAAGTTCAAGTTTCCTTCTTGTGCGCCTATAGATAGATATTTTGTTTTGGCTATGTTAACTGTCAAGCCCCATTCTCCGTATTCTTCAATAAGTTTTCTTAGCATATATTGCATATCGTCTTTGTCATTGGCAACTATTATTTGATCGTCTGCGAATTGAAGTGTGAACAAACATTCATTGTCAATCTCTATGCCCATACCACGGATCTTTCTTTTCCAATTTTTTAAAGCGACTGCAATGTATATTTTAAAGAGAGTAGGGGAGATGCAACAACCTTGACGCAAGCCTTTTAAGTGTTAAGTGAGTGTAATTGTTTAAGTGAGAAGTGTAATATAAACAAAAAAATATAGGGTGACGACAATTTCGATGCTCAACGTTGGTATTTCGGAAACTACAGAAGAAATTCGATACACACTGTATGTCAAAAAATGAAAATAATGCGTTTATTTTAAAAGATGAATTTTTTCAAAATTATTGTATCAATTACAACGTTTTGATCTGAGCCAATTAAATGCCGTTTTTAAAAAGTTTTTAAGCCTTCTAGAGTTTGTACAACATCAGTCAATATTCTGTTTTCTTACGGCCTGTTAAAGACTTGCAAGCTGGTTGGCAAGAATCTTGCAGCAAGACCAAGACCAAATCTAGTTATTAGACTGCAAAACCAAGATTAAGACCAAAATCAAAAGATTCTTGGTCTTAGTCTTGCGTTTGCTTACCATTTTCACCAAAATGTATTTTGTATGTCACATATTTTGGTTGCCATTCAATATTTTTTTGGTATTGATATATCCCAACCATGTTATATGGAAGCGAAACCTGAGTGCCATATCGCCGGCACATAAATGCATTAAACAAGTTGCAACAGAGACATCTTGGTGGTACCATCAAATGGTATCCTATGTTATAGGGCTTGTTTCTCTCTACAATTTCCTGTCTCACAATGTACCGTTTGGGTCGGGGAAGGGACCATAGTTTCAGAGTTGTCGATTTTCGAAAGAAATCAGTACATGTATATTATTTCGTATATTTTTCATTTTATTGGTTTTATAGAAAGCACTGTTCATTAAAATGTTGTATCCTATGTTATAGGGCTTGTTTCTCTCTACAATTTCCTGTCTCACAATGTACCGTTTGTGTCGGGGAAGGGATCATAGTTTCATAGTTGTCGATTTTCGAAAGAAATCAGTACATGTATATTATTTCGTATATTTTTCATTTTATTGATTTTATAGAAAGCACTGTTCATTAAAATGTTGTATCCTATGTTATAGGGCTTGTTTCTCTCTACAATTTCCTGTCTCACAATGTACCGTTTGTGTCGGGGAAGGGATCATAGTTTCATAGTTGTCGATTTTCGAAAGAAATCAGTACATGTATATTATTTCGTATATTTTTCATTTTATTGATTTTATAGAAAGCCCTGTTCATTAAAATGTTGTATCCTATGTTATAGGGCTTGTTTCTCTCTACAATTTCCTGTCTCACAATGTACCGTTTGTGTCGGGGAAGGGATCATAGTTTCATAGTTGTCGATTTTCGAAAGAAATCAGTACATGTATATTATTTCGTATATTTTTCATTTTATTGATTTTATGGAAAGCACTGTTCATTAAAATGTTGTATCCTGTGTTATAGGGCTTGTTTCTCTCTACAATTTCCTGTCACACAATGTACCGTTTGTGTCGGGGAAGGGATCATAGTTTCATAGTTGTCGATTTTCGAAAGAAATCAGTACATGTATCAGGAAGCAGCGCACAACAGAACGCAATGGAGAAGAATTGTAAAGTCAGTTAACAACCAAAAAACAAAAAGTAAAGAGGAAATTTTTGAATGTCCGGAGTGCGGAAAAGAAATAACATCACGTATCATGCTTTTCAGCCACAGAAAAGCTCATGAAAGAAAACGCCTTGCGTGACCATCTTCTGATGCGTGTCAAATACTCGTCAGCGAGTAATGGCAGTAAGGTAAGTTTTGGTATTGACATATACTTATTTTGACGTATCTCTTCCCACTTGAAAGATCTAGTTTTTTTAATCAAAAATATTTTATCTCTGTTTTCTAAATTTATTTATCAACTAGGAAATGAAATATATACTCCTCGAAATATTTTTTACTTGTCCTTTAAATTTAACAATTCTGGAATATAATACCGTCGTTTCACTTACCAAATTATATATTTTTTTCCGAAATATGTCTTGTATGGAACAAACACCTTTAGAAATGAGGTAGGAATAGTCTTCTTCCTTTCAGTCACTGAACTCGAGACTAAATTAAAGTTCAACTTTGATCCTTACAATTCGAGGCACCCTGTATATTAAACCGCGGTCTAAGAACTTATCTGAATCACCAGATTTAGTATACTCACGAGTCCGACAAGATAAAATAAAACGAAAAACAAAACCGGTGATACCGTAGTGGACAAAATAGTAATAATTTCGATACAAACACACGCTACAATGTTTAATCGGAATTTACTAAAATAATAAACGAGTGTTATCGAAACTTAAGTCCCCCTTCCCCCCTTTTAAAATAATAATTACATATATATCTCGGCGGGTGATAAGATAAAAACTTCTTAAAAAGATACACTTTGAAAATGTTACGTCACAATGTCGGCCAGAAGTGCAATTAAAATGGGGACGTGAAATCTATTCATTTTTGAATTACCAGGAAATAGTTTTATAATTCTCAGAAACAGAAAACAATTATTTATGTGTGTTCTACAACAGTAATGTATGTTTAAGAATTTTAGTATTAGTTACTGGTCTCTATTTAGTTTTATACAGTCAATGATATTACAATGGAAGTAGTACAGTTCATACTAAATCAAGTTTTAGTGACGTGATTAAGCTTGACCGGCACAGCGTTGCCCACTTTGATATATTTTCTTTTAATCAAAATATTTCAGGAAAAAAATAAATTAATTATAAATATATAAAAAGTTATTATTTACATCAACAAAACTATGCTATGCCTCAACCTATCAAAAACTAAAGTTTTGTCGTATAAAAGTACTATACAACCTTTTGTACTTAATAACACCAATATTGACGTCGTGGACTCTGTGAAGTTCTTAGGACTTGTTGTAGACAACTCGTTAAAATGGGACTTTCACATCGAAGCTCTATCAAAGAAACTAAGCGCTGCCTGTTTTGCGCTAAGATCAGTTTCTAAGGAACTTAACTTCTCAACCTCTAGAATAGCCTATTATGCCCTTTTTGAGTCACATCTTCGTTATGCCCTTCCATTCTGGGGTACTTGCTGCGCAACAAAATTTGATCGTGTTTTTCAGACTTCAAAGAGAGCAGTTCGATATTTACTGGGACTGAACAGTAGAACTCACTGCCAGAATTTCTTTAAAAATTTGAAAATACTGACTCTTCCTTCTTTATTCATTTTTGAATCCGTTTGCTTAATCCGCAAGCACATATCTGCTATTCCCGAAAGGCCATCTCATAACTATCCACTTAGGAATGCAGAGCAAGATCTTTATTTGCCAACCCCGAGCTCAGAACTAGTTAAAGGTTCAATACTGTACAATGCCAAAAACATGTACAATCATCTGCCTTGGAATATCAAGTCGCTTTCATTCTTTCCCGCATTTCGCAAAGCTCTAAAATCATACTTACTGGAGAGAGCCCTATATGCGGTAAACGACTTTTTTGTTGATGTTAAATTATGAACAATTTGGAATTTTAAAATTTTGATCATCTCACACATTGTTCAAAGGTCAAGTATTTAATATTTTTTAACTCTAAAATCATATCTATTTACTGTGTACTGTTCTAAAATTGTCCATGTATATTCTTTTTGTAATTTTAAAGACTTAAATTTTTTTGAATTGTATTATTTGTATTGTGTATTTTTTGTTGTTTGTATTTTTTTGTGATTTGGTTGTTTGTGAGTGCTTTGTCTATGAAGCTGTTTTGGCTTTTTGTACAATAATGCGTTATTTGTTTGTTGTTTGTTTGTTTGAACTCACTTTCTTAACAGCACTTAAGGCTTTCTCGTTCAAAATATTCTGATAAACTCGCGATGAGTTTTTTTATGGCTATTAAGCTATCTTGTACACTTTGCACTAAAAGAGATTCTAAAAAGAAAGATTCTGTGCGCAAAAGATGTTTATTGTGTATTCAACAAGGGGGTGCTCAGTTTGAACACCTTTGATGATTTTTTTTAGAGAACTATATTCGTCACTCAAAAAATACTTTTTTTTAGTTTTATTCTTTGTTTATTGTATCGATTTCAATTGTAATTACTAATACTAATATAGAATGTTAATTTACCTTTTCAAAAGTCTTTAAATTATGCAGATAAATAATTTTGAAAAGTCTTTAAATTATGAAGATAAATAATAATATAGAATATTAAATTGTGATAAAAAATAATTAGGCAAATAGGTCAACACAAAATCAAGGCCCGCTTCGATATAAAATTCAAAAACCTAATATTTCTCTTATTCTTACAAATAGATGTCCATAACTTTATATCGTTGGAAAGGGTTAAACGCCAGCATTTTTTTAAGTTCATAGCCAACTATGATTTCCATTTAAAAAATTATATTTTTTATTATTTCTGAAAAAAAGAGCAAGCATAGAAAAAAACTGACTACGCCACTGGATTGTGCCTAAAAAAGTGCCTTAATAATGTTTTTACAGAATTTTATTATTCCGCAAAATAAAAAAGTTATGAGCAATTTTCAAAATGGTAAAAAATTCAAAAAGACCCCGTATCTCAGTTGGCAGCGAAAATATCAACAGGCGGTTTACGCCATTAAACGTTTCTCAGAAATCGAGCCCATGACATCTATGTCGGTTTTGCTCTATCTAGTCAGGAAATAGGTTTTTTCTGTTAAAACAGACCAATTTCGACCACCCTGTACATTGGTTCATTTTCAATCTGCTTGTATTGATCAATGCTGTAATCGTAAACAACGTGTCAGTGAAAATTTTGACAGGTGACTTCCAATCTACACTCGCTGGACAAAAATACTAAAAAAGTCAGTTCAAAGAAATGAGAACATGATTCATGTTATTGTTAATACACAAGTCTATAGTAGATTACCAGAACTAAAATTCCCCAGACGATTTCTTGCGATTTAAATGATTGTTTTTGTTTTTTTATGGCGAGATGATCAAATATAATTATTATGTTTATTTATAAACAAAATAGACTAGTAATTATACTATCCGGAATATGTAAATTACCATGATAAGACGATATAATTTTTATTGTTAAAGAGGGATTTACAAACATTGTTTGATCTGTTAATAGATTATTATGTTGGTAAATCAAAATATTTTTAGTTAAAAAATAGAATAAATATAAAATAAAATTAAATAATATAGTTATGTTTTTAGTGATATTTTCAATATTTTTTTTGTGTATAAGTGAATGAATTTAATCCTTTCATAATATTTTTATCTATTCTGTTAATCTCTTAACTTTGACATGTAACATGTGTATAATAAAAATTTTCAATTAAAAGTAGTCAGAATTAGTGGTTTATTGATTTTGATGTAATATCATTAAATGTTCTTTATTGTAGAGGATTTATTTGGCATGGTTTTAAGAGAATTATTGTTGAAATTTAATTTTATCAATAAATCTGATAGAATTCTAAAGTATTTCCTGATACAAGTATCATTTTTAGTAAACTGTGGTAAGAACTATTTATACCTTTTCTCTGAGTTGTTAAAGAATCTTTTATTTCTTAATTCAGTAATTGGTAGATACTACTAGAGTTGTTAAAACTAGAGAATTTTGTATAGTGTTTAAATAAAGTGGGAAATCCAATGTAATCTTCCATCGGTAATTGTTTTTTTTTCAGGGAAATATTATAAATATACAAAGTGTACTGTACAACCAAGATATCCAAGAGATACAAACCAAATGTTAATAGAAAAATTCTGGGTTGCCACTTATCTATTAAGAAGTCATCATCATCATCATCACTTTCAGCTTATTCAACCATTTCCAATTATGGTCTAGCCTCATAGTCTCTTTTTAGTTGGGTCCATTGTTGTCTATTTTTGCAGGCCAAAGTTATCCCTGCTAATTTCCTAATACCAAGTGCGTGGTACCAAATTATTCGTAAAAAATGCTTTTTCCAAATATGCTAATAAGCCACCCTCGTTTCATTTGAAAAGAATGAGATACGATTAAAAATACTATTTGGCCATCTTTTAACAGGCCAGAACAAGACACTAAAAACATCAGATGATCAAATATGTTTTCCAAGGCTCCTTGATTAAAAATTAGTGTTTTTAACACAACCATTGCACTGTAGATTGAAAGTTAATATACGATGTTTTCTTAAGCAAATATGTCAAAAGTTGACATATGATATATCATTCTATTCGGATTGTCATTCTCTATCGAATAAAGTAAAAAAATACCGAGGGTGCCAATTAAAAATCAACAGTTGTACTCATTTCCGGTGAAACAGGAAGTGACAGAAAAGAATTGAATACTTCAATCAATTCTAATTTATGTTATATACTAACATACCAAATCTCGTTTTTTTATCTGAAAAAATAATAAAGTTATAGGGTCAGCCACTTTTGAGACGCACCCGGTATAGCATTGATAAATTTTGTGATTCTGTAACATATTAAAACAGCAAAAAATATGACTTTAATTAAAATTCTATCATTAACATTCCATAGATATATATTTCCATAGAAACGCCTTTTGTTTTTCCGAACGCCAAAAGTTTTTCGTGAAACGCCAAAAGTGTTTTTCCTCTTGTAAAGACAATCCGGGGACATACTGTAGATATTTTCTTGTAATATCTCATATTTACATAATATATTTTATTTCAAGTAATATAATCGTCTACAGATTATTACCTGCTTCTTTTTCTGTAAGCAGTTAATTAAATAATTTTCAACAAGAGTTCAAGACCACTTTGATAATAATAATTAAACTAAACAAATCTAAAAACACCGGTTTATCATTAAATACGAAATCCTGTTTTTGTTTGTACTGCACTTACTATCGTACTACCAAATTGTCGATTCATCGAAAATAGAGCCGTTTTGATTTGTTATACGTAATTTATAATACTTATTTAATATTTACCAGTAAGCTAAATTATACTGTACACGAGTTTACAGTATTTGTTATTAATTTCAATTTCTTAATAATTGTCTATACCGTGCTGGCAACTGTTACTTTTGGGTCGGCATTTACATGTGTGGAAGTAAATCGCATAGGGATCTTATTAAGTCGGAGTGAGAAAAATGCGACCGACCGACGCGACGCGCGACGGTGTGCTGTTGCGGCGTTGCCGATACGCCTTTCCCTATCAAGTAAAGTAAAATCACGATCGCAAACCGCTTATTTTTAAAAGACTTTTTTTTCAAGAGATAACTAGATACAATCATTAGGTTTGTAATGTTTCTGAGCATCTGAAATGGAATTATAAGGATATCGTTAGGGTGTCATTTTTTTATAACGAGAAAAGGTCAGTAATCGCGATAATTTAAAAACT